TATATAATTATAGTATTATATATATATTATCTTATATATTTTATTATAATATATATTATATATATTATATATATATATTATTATTATTATTATTACTATATATATTCTTATATATATATATATATATTATATATATAATATATATATATATATATATAATATATATATATATATATATATATATATATAATATATATATATATATATATATATATATATATATATATATATATATATATATATATATATATATATATTATATATATATATATATATATTATATATATATATTATATATATATTAATATATATATATATATATATATATATATATATTATATATATATATATATATATATATATATTATATATATATATATATATATATATATATATATATATATATATATATATACTATATATATATTATATTATATATATATATATATATATATATATATATATATATATATATATATATATATATATATATATATATATATATATACCTTCTTTCATTCTCCGTCAATCACTTATTAAATCTTGGTCTAGAAAATATTCTCAAACACCAAATATAAGGCTTATGTCATCCTTTGGTTTAGCCACCAAAAAAAAAAAAAAAGTGAAGCATGCATGCATGCACCTGCGCACACATGCACACACACGACTCACACCTACATTGTCTACTCACCCTGTGTTTGTTCCAGGTTCATTGCACGGACATAGGTAAAACTTTGGGCATTAGAAGTAGGGACTTTCTTTTCCTGCAAGAGAGCAGAAAGCTTCCTTACTCGACCTTCCAACCAAGACAAGGTTGACTCTTGATTATACTTCCACACACCCAGATTTGGACTTCCTGCAAAAAATAAAAAAATATTTGGTGCCATGATTTTATTTATGTCTCTTTTCTTTGAGATGTTTGAAAATTATGAACTACTGTAATTCATCTAAAGAATCTGGGACCTAAAGTGTATATCAGAAACTAATTCTAGTCTTCCCTTGCTATTCTTCTGTCTCTTTCTCTCTCTATCCCTCAATATGTATGTATGTATGTATGTATGTATGTATGTATGTATGTATGTATTTATGTATGTGTATGTATGTATATTGGCATGTATGTATGTACATATATTCAGTGATAGACAAAAATAACAACCTTCACCTCTACACTATCGAACAGAGTATGAGACCTGATGATTTTTTTCTCAACTGCACAACACTGAATCTGTTGCTATTTTCAAGGTAAATGAGGGCTTTGAGGAGTTGTCACTTTTGCTCATCACTATACATGAATAGGTCTATGTATATATGTATATGTGAAAACTCCTTATCTTGTCTCTCTGTCTGTCTGTCTGTCTGTCTCTCTCTCATGTATGGACACACACACACATGAATAGACGTACACACATATTTTCATATTTGTATCTATCTATCTATCTATATATGCAAATATATGACCCAACAGATAAATATAAATATTCAAAACCAACCTTTCCTGTCAGCAATATGTGAAAAGTCTTTACCAGCAGCAAGACTAGATACATGTACTATGGCTGGAAACTGGTCGTCTTCCAGTAGGTGATCAAGGGGAACATTTTTGGTAGACTGGAAAGAAGATATCATTGCAATATTAAGGTTATTTATATGATTATTAATGTTAGTTATATGAATTGTAAGACGTTAATAAAGAAAGAAAAGTAGAAATAATATCTAATAGTAATTTACAGTATAATGACCAAAGTTGACAGACAACTGAAACACATTAAAATAATAATCTAAAAATAATAATCAACAGTGAACCTACATAGAATTACAACATCAAATTACTTCATCTAACCTGCATTAAATATGGCAGGATGAGATATGAGACGTCAACTGGTGTAGTAATGTATAATTTCCCATCGGATTGGACTGTCTCACCAATAAGCCAGGACCTGTTGAAAATGTATGAAAATACTATGAAATCTATCCTTAGATATTTTGAGGTATTCTGACATGTTTAAAATAGCCTTTGCTTTTAAACATTACAGGAGAAATAAGAAACATAGCAGCAGGTTTTTAAATTACATATCTATTAATTTATAAATATAGGGTCTTATTTTCCATAACATCTATAACTGAATAAATACTACTAAATTTACTGAGTCCTTTCCTTTACCTGCTTTACTTTTAAATTTGCTTAATGGCTCACTGGGATAAGGCACCATAGTATTGTTCAAGCGTTTGTGAGATCGAACCTCTTTGGTGTTGTTAATGATAAGGATCCCAATTATTCTTAGCATACAGGGGGAGGTGGCAACTTATAGGATTTGTATGATGAGGCTGTCGCTCTTATTCAGAGGTACTTCGGACACCACAGACAGAGAGCTGGAGCAGTATATCCCTTTCATGAGCCAATCATCTCGATGCCGCTCCAGCTCTCCACCTAAGGTGCCAAATGTCCCTGAATATGATTGTGTGTGGCATCTGATGTCTCCAAACCTTATTTTCATTTATTTAGAATTTCTCAAGAAGTTCAAACAAAAGTTGAAAAAAGAAGTTATCTCTAGACAACATTATGATGAAAAAAGTGAACCTGCATATCTGCACATGTAGATTCAACCTTTTAGCTTTGAGAAACCTGCCTTCAAAGCTTTATACACATGTATAATTTTAACACATTTGTATTAAATTCATATAAATATCTAGCAAAATAAAATAAATGAAAAGTAAAGAAAAGAAAAGAAAAGAAAGAAAAAAAAAACAATATTAACCTACATTTTTTTCATATATAATGTGGCACAATTGATATAAGACATCAGATAATGAAAGCCTTTACACAGCTCATATTCCTGGTACATTGTAATGAATAAATGCTTATACAAACACACACACACACACACACATCTGCACATGCACACAACACACCACACACACACACACACACACACAACACACACACACACACACACACACACACACACACACACACACACACATACACACACACACACACCACACACCATACACACACACACACACACAC